GTTTCATTTTGCAAGAGATGTGAGGTATTTTGCATTGTGTGTGTGCAATTCTTGGAATTGTGTGTAAAGTTTTGAAAAAAAGAGACAAAGTTTTGAAAAATGTGTGTAAGCAGTTGAAAAAAAATGTGATTTCTTATCAAAGCCAACTAAATTTCATTAGTGTTACCTATAATACAGTCTAGCAAGATTCTTCTGATGCTAACAGCATGTTTTATTTTACTCTAATTTCAGTCTTGTACCTATCTATTGAAGCAAGGCAGATAATGAACAAAAGGGAAAAAAGCAAGAATGAATGAAAGAAAATAAAACAATTAGGTTATGCCATGCCATCATTACAAAATGGATTATTTCACAGCTTCCATCGACTCTCAAATAGCATCTTTTTCAGAAATGGTACAAGAATGACTAAGATATAGATGCAGTAAATATTGTTCAACATAAGAGTCTTTATTTTTTATATTTTCGTTTATTTATATTCAAATTAACTAATGGAAGACTAATTCAAAGAACCCTTTTAAGTCAAATAGTCACTTGCTATTTCCTGTAAAAGTGGGCACACACACACACACATACAGCTGTCTTGTTTTGAAAGGTGATGAGGTTTTCTGACTTCTCCATGTTGTTCATGCAAACTCATTGACGTTGTCCTTTTTTATGTGCACATGGTCATAGAGGTCTTTTATTGTGATGCTGAAGTGATGAGCCAGGTGCACATTGGGCAGCTTTGGAGATGTCAGTATTGACTCTCTGGATGGTGTCTGGATGAATGTCTCTGCAGGGAACAAGTGTGGACATGATGATCTTTGCATTGGGGCAGATCTCATAGCCTTCTCTGCTACTCTGCAGACCAGCTGCCCAACTCTCTCCTGTTCAATTCTCAGGTCATTGGTGCCTGTGTGTATGATAATGTGTGAGGATGTGCCAAAGCTGGGGTCAGAAAGCACTCTGAGGACATCACCTGTTTTGGGGAACCAAAATTTTTACCCCTGCAGGAACTTTCAATTGGAGTCCCTGAAGATGGCAGTTTCTCAACTGGAGTTGTGGCTGATTTTTCTCTTCTGATTTTTAAAGTTTCTGTTCAGTTAGAGATATTAGTGCCATTAAAGGACACTCAGAAGCAGGCACGTGCACACATAGACATCAAAGGGGGCTAGAGCAGAAAGTGTCCTTTTTTCAGTTTTCTTTTCTTTTTCTTTTTTATTATTATTCATATATAAATAAATGAATATATGTGTGCGTGTGTGTGTGTGTTTCTGTTTGCGCACAGCTGTTCCTGTCAAACAAATAAAAAATCTAAATATCAGGTCAGTTCAGGAAATGTTGAGACTGTCGAGTGTCGA